AACGTCTTCTAATTAAATCAAAATTAGAAGGGGGCGTCAACAAGAAGAACCTACTTCTAAGAAGAATCTCGATTGGAAGGGGGCGACAAACATCCAGAAGTCAAATGAAGATCGAATTTAGAAGAAAGCATGATCCAGCCATAACCACTTATCAAGATTTAAAGAAAGTTCATTTGCAATCTATTAAGCCATCCTCTCCAAAGAATTCAAATTTCCTAATAATTTAAAATCCAAATTAAAATGGTTCCAATAACCATAACAAAAAAATTAAAATTATAAAAAACCAAATAAAATAAGAAATTTATAGGAAAAAATTGTTCCCAATACTTCAGAAGAAGAAGCCCTAATAAAATTCGTTATTTTAAACAAGCCAAATTATCCATAAAATCGAATTATGCAGCGATTCCTAAAAAAGTTTCAAAAGTCAAAAATTAGATTTTTCAGAAGAAAGACCCATAAATAAATTGATTTCGTTAAAATACAACCACCAAAATTCCTTGAAAAATCACCAGAAAAATCAAAATAATTAAAATCAAAAAAACTTATCAAAATCAAAAATGTAATACCAAAAGAATTCAGAAACCACAGAATTACGAAAAATAAATTTAATAATTCAACCAAGTCCATGGACAAACAAAACACAATTCCAACACAATTAATTAAACTTACAGAATTGATCACGACGTCTTACCTAATAATTAGTAAAAAAAAAAACAAGACCACCCGAAATTGATATACTTAAGGATGTAAAGAGAAAAAAAGAGGAATAAAAAATTTAATTTAATTTCATAAGGATATTCCAAGGAAACTGAAAGAAAATCCATTCCAAAAAAAGAAAATAATCACCCTAAACCTGTCAAAAAATATCTTAAAACACAGCCGAAATTTTTCCAGGAAACCTGGAAGAAGCGTAAGAAAATTAGGAACTAAGAATAAATCACACACCACCAGATACGCGGACCGCAAAAAAGAGAGTATCAACCTGAAAAGAAAAAATCGAAGGGATCGAAATTGAATAATAAATTTTAAATCAAATTAGCTTCTTTAACATTCAACCAAATGAATCGAAAAAAAACAAAAGTTGATTCAGTACACAGCAAAATTCTTAGGGCCACCATAAGAGCCTAAACCTGTCAAAATAAATTCCTAACGAACGTCAACAGAAATTATTTTTCACCAAGATCCTGACACGAATACGCGCGTAAGGAGACAACGAGGAACCCATGGTTCACTGAGCCGACAGAGCGCAGAAGCGACGTACGGCGACAATTAAACGAACCAGAAATCGAATCCGTCACACGCAGCGAACGCACCACGTGTTCCGAAAACCACGAGCCGAACTCGATGGAAGATAAACAAATATTCGAAAATGCGAACAACCTAAACGCAGAGATTAAGAGATTCTTCGCACCAATCCACCGAAAGAAGGGTCAAAATACAAAACTAGTCCTTACATCAAAATCCCGTGGGAACACTGTGAAACGATTAATTAAAAATACATCGAGCAACGGAGAACGATGAACAATAACAAATGGAGATTTCCAGAGATCGTTGAAACCAAACATTGGAAGAAGGGTCGATGGAACGTAGGAGAACTTAAGAAATGGTCGGAAAGAATTTCCAGAAACGTAAGAAGCACAAAGGAGATCTTGGAAAAAATGAAAACGGCCTTAATTTAAAACAAAAGAAAAAGCCGCACCACGAAGAGGAGATAGAAGCACAAAGAAAAAGAAAATCCGAAATCAACCAAAACAACGCTTAATATAAATCCGAAACAACACACACCGGAGCAAACAAAACTCAGCCACACCGGAAAAAAATGAAAAATACGAACACGGAAAAAGGCGAAGATTTCAACATCCTTCGACATCCTTTCCACCACAACACAAAAACATCCACGAGAAATTTTGAGCAATGGAGAAACTGATGAAAATACACCAACGAAATGGACAAAAAACAGTCCAGGAAAGTTAATCAACGCAACATACCACAAAGAGATGCAAAAGCAGAAATTAAACAATGCGTCCACAGACGTCGCCAAAACAGCGAAATTCAAATCAAGATCTTCACAGAAAGATCTTCAAATTGGAATTGATATTTTAAACTTTAATATGAACCACACGAAATTCGACCACAATAAGATTGGCGATCGCGCCGGTCAGATAATCGGGCCGCCTCGACCTATCCATCTCTCTGGATAATGCGCGTTTAAAAAATCGCGCACTTGTCGAAAAAGTGCGCATCTAATTGAAAAATGAGTTCCGCTCTATCGCGAAGAGGAACATCTTCGAGAAGAGCAGGTAACTCATTTTGGAGGAAATTAAGATAAATCGCTCCATTTAAACGGGGTGGAAGAAAATATGGCCCGATCTAAAAAAATGAAATATTAAAAAAAAATGATTTGTTAAACTTGCGAAAGAAAATTTTTTTGCTTACTAACAAGTAAATTTACTACTTACTATTTGGTTCGCTTTTATTCCTGCCCATACATTTATCGCCCAGCGATATTGATAAGCGCGTTCTCGAACGACATGCGGGTTTTTTTCTGCCCATTGCAGAAAATTGTGTGAATTAAACACACCGTTCGGTGTGAACGTGGCTTCGTCAGTCCATAAAATTCGATCGGGGAAAAAATTATTTCGTCGATACTGCGCAAGAAATTCTGTGTGTTTCACCGACTATTAATATTTATTAAAAATAACGCGAAAAAATATGAAATAAAGATAATAAAAATACCTTCACAAAAATAGACGCGCTGTTCGTCATCTCTCGGTAAAAGTTGCTGTACTCGCTGATGATGATACGGATGCAATCCATTTTGACGTAGAACATGATGCACCACGTATCGCGAGAGACCGAGCATCCGAGATACACGGCGCACACTGGTCCTGGGGTTTTCTTCGAACGCTCGCAGGATTCTCTCTTCTTCTCGTACGTGATAACGTACTGGTGCCCCCACGTTTCGTCGATTTGGCATCACAACTCCTAGTGTTTCTCTGGCGCGTTGAACACAATTCAAAATTGTTTTATAATATGGATGACGCTCACGTTCGGGAAATCGCTCCGCGTAAAGACGAGCCGCAGCACGAGCTTTTTCTCCGGCTGCTCCGTATACGATAATCATGTCCGTATATTCTGCTGAAGTATAATCTGCCATTATTTAATAACTTTTTACACGCACCTTACGAGACGTACAACTCGAAAGTTGGGCAGCTACTGTGGAGCAACAAATTACGAGGAAAAGAGAATCGATGATAATTTAAAGAAAATTATTTCAAACGTTTGCCGCAGTATCATCTGATATCCTTGCGCGCCGCGGCTTTTCTTTACGCCTTTACGCGGAGCGATTTCGGTAGATAAAGATATGCTCGGTCTCTCGCGATACGTGGTGCATCATGTTCTACGTCAAAATCGCGTTCGCTCCTCCCTCCGCTTTGCCGCGCGCCGTGTATCGTGTGAAAGGGGGCCGTCTCATCTCGTCGCGCGCTTAGATTGGCCGATCTTTTTTATTTAATAACACAATAGTTATTGCGAAAATCGCAAAACGGTAGAAGACTTTCCTATTTGGTTTAACTTACTCTACCTGCACACGACGGTTGAGGCGACCGTTACCGGACACCCTGTATAGGTGTGATGGCCTTCAGCACGTCGCTAGAGAGAGCCGGTTTGTGTTCATAATCGAACAGATTACCTTGAGCTTTGGCTTGTTGCCAGGTACACCAGCTGTCTTCACCCTGCGGACAATCCTCATGTTGTGGTTTCTCGTTTGTCGATGCTTTGTGTTTCAGCGTAGCCCATATAGCCTTTTTCATATCCGGCATAGAATCTTTATTCCTTCGGATAGCTAACCCGTAATAAACACTAAGTTCATCTATTAGTTTTGCTGTGAGCTTTCCTTTGCCGCCCAGTCCTTTAGTATCTTTTTTTAGTTTTCTCAGTCGTGCTCCCATTCTTTTCTGGACATGGCCAACGCATTCTTTTTTTTCGACAATACAATTTTGCCGTAAGAGTTACATTCTGTTATCCCTTTGAAAGTTTTGCAATCGCCGTCACCGACGTAGGAGGAATATTTCACGCCGTGTAATTTCTCCGATCTCATGAACATTTCTTTAGTCGCGTCCACCTCCATTTTTCCGGCGCTACCAACGTGATTCGCAGTGCACTCATTTTTGTGTGTTTCCATCTGTTCAAAACGCATCAGAAAACATTATCCGCATAATAAAATATTATATTCGAATAGAATATTTTAGAATATTCTAGACCAATCGATATTTTCAGCAAATCGTTTTTGTATGTTTTTCGAGGAGAAAACACCGCGACATAAATCAATCTGTTTCAGAAAAAAACCTCTCAAAATATCAACAATTAACGGTACCACAACCGTTCCGCCGAATATTATTTTCAGTGAGCATGCGCGGCTTATCACGGGTGCTTCGTTTCACCAATAATTATCGCGATCGCCCGCTCGCGCATGCTTTCTTCCAGCCGTCGTCCCGTTAATTTTGACAGCGGCCAATTACTCGTAATGCGCTCAGGTCACCTCGCGCAACGTTTGAAATCCGCAAAACTATTGGCGCTTCACGCGAAGGTGGGCTCCATCCTAAAAATTATAAAAGAAGAGCTCACACCCGGCTTACCAGCCTTATCGCTTTTCCGCCGTGAACCGCATAACGCAAACCACATACCCGTTAAACCGCTAAAAATTCGTTGACGACCGCCGCTTATTCCGCACTTTGATTTTTGATTACGATTTTCACTGTAAAATAATTAACATTTGTAAGAAGTTTGTTAAAGTGTATTTGTCATTAAGTGTGTTAGAGAATTAAATTCTTTTGATACAAAAGTGACTCATCCTTTGTGCCGCGCGACCCTTTCTTACGCAGCGCGTTTGCGAACATATTTTTGGTCCTTCGAGCCGGATCTCGCACCGGCAACCGCAAGTTCGCGAGCGTGACTTTTCATGTGAGTGGAGAAAGTGAGCATCTGTGTGTGCAGCCATCATGGATGTACCCACGCTGGTCGACTGTCAGCGTGAGATTCAAATCCGCATCTCACGTTCCGTGGAGTATTTGAAGAAGCTGGGCAGCTCTAATATCACTACCAGTGCTATCGCCACACGCACCAGAATTCTGGATCAGCTGTGGACAAAATTCGAAGCGCAGCACGACCTTATCCGAGCAGCCTTAAAAGAAAAGTTCAGCGAGAGCGATTATTTTAAGTCAGAATTGCACGCTGATACGGAGAATCTGTATGTCAATCAAAGAAGCATACTTGACGGCTACGCCGAACACTTTCGTGCAGCGAACGTACCTCCTTCTGCCGACGCCACACCAAGGTCGTCACTGCCGCGCATCAAAGTACTACCATTCTCTGGTGCCTACGCAGATTGGCCGTCGTTCAGAGATCTCTTCCTCTCCGTCGTGAGTGGCAATGCGATCTCCAACATCGAGCGCTTTCATCACCTCCGCTCATGCTTGACAGGGCCGGCTGAAAAATTAATCAAGTCGTTACCTGTCACCAGTGACAATTATGATCGCGCTTGGGCAATCCTGGACAAACATTATAACAATAAAAAGGAATTGATCCGCTCCAACTTTGCCACGTTCATCGCCGTGCCAAAGATGAAGGGAGATACCGCAGAAGAGTTGAGACGCATTCACAACGCCGTTACTGCTGCCGTCAATGGTCAGAGCATTGGACGTCCAATTAACACCCACGGAATGGACCTCTTCAACTTCCTAGTGTTACGTCCAATAATTCATCTAGCGATAAACTACCTTCTGCGCAAGACGGTCTTCTCTCGCGTCTACCTCGGTGGACGTTTAAGAAGCTGCTCTCTATTTGTTTTATGGGCAACCTGCTAGGCCGGCTATACCCAGGGAAGCCGAGAGCTTGAGATTCGATTGAGAGTATCGGACAGAGAAGGAAGCTGACGGGTCGGGTCGATAAATAAAGATATTTTACAAGTATAATGTCATTTATTCATTTATAAAACCTTTACGTCGATATAAAGTTTATTGGTCCTGACGTGATTCGTGGGGGGCTTGAAATTGAGTTACAATATTGCTAAGCTCCTGTTCAGAATTGTTAGGCTGAATGAGGTAAGTAATAAAAGAAATAAAGTCGTCCTGAGCTACTTCTGAGATGAAATTACGAGTGCCGTCGGATGTGAGATTCACGGTATCCTCGTCAAGAATATTAAAGTTTTGTTCGTGATTAAATTGTAAGAACGGATCGTATTCAGACGGTACAATTTGTTGGCTTTGATCTGGGATATAATATTCGGGATCGGAAAAGAAATGATTAGTTGAGTCTGTTCCGAACGTATTTGGTTCTGAATGCGACGAATCCGGAAATTGCGGACGAGAATAATCGATATAAGGTGGAAGGTTACGTATAGGTGAATAAACGTCGGGAGAAGAGGGTCGAACGATTACTCGCGTAGGAAAGATTTGGACATGTAAGTTTAAGACTCTTCTCGTTCTACGTTCGCGTAGTCTATGGAGACGTTGTTCGTCACGATCAATTTGATTCTTCCTTCGGAAGGGAGAGACCATCTAACGGTTAAATAAATTTATATGAATAATATGTTTTATGGAACTGGGAGAATTAATTAATCAAAAGTAATTGAGTATGACTCACGTTTGCAGCGTGATTTACTTGCTAATGAAAGCGAACGGAGATGAAAGGTTAATCTATGTGAGACTGTCCTTCATCTGTTAATGAATTAACTTTATGTCAGTGATTGTTATAATAAACCCGTATAAAAAAAAGGAAAGGATTAGTAATAATGTGAGTAAAGAAAGAAAAGGATTTGAAAAAGAGTATTGATATCTATCAAGGCTGAGAATGAAGTTTTGTATGTTACCGGCTGTAAGTAAAGTATCTCTAAGTGGTAAAGTGGATTTCTATTTTATCATTAGTCGGTAAAAGTATCTCTAAGTGGTAAGGTGGATTTCTATTTTATCATTAGTTGGCAAAAGTGTCTCCCAGTGGTAAAGTGGATTTCTATTTTATCATTAGTTGGTAACGTAAAGAATATTAATATTTGTACCTTCAAACATCGAAGGTTAATGTTTTAAACACTGAAATAATGATTATAATAATTTGCATTAAAAGAAGAGAGAGATAGTGATGCAGGGAGAAGGTAAGGATTTGAATAGGAGTATTAATATCAATATTCTGAATATTAATACTCGATATGTCGATAATTATATTTTAGACTTTGAAATAAATAAATTCTCAATGATTCGTCAAGATCACTGTCAGTCGGTGTGGTAAAGTATTCGCAACTATTTGAAAATGCAAGGTGTAAAAAGCATAAAAGGGATAGAGAGATAGGTGTTCATCCGGCTAGGCCGGGTTCTCTGGTCCTTGTCTTAGTAGGCTAATGCGACGTTCACTTTACTAAACGTGCACCTCAGAGATGACTTGCGAATGTACCTTCTGACAGGATATTATTCTAATGTATTAAACAGGGTGAGGTGGGATATACTGGTCAAAATGAGTTTAATTTCAATATGTAAGGATTCTGGATACGTGTATTAATATTTATATCAAGAATATTAATACTTGTACTTTCAAGCATCAAAGATTAATGTCTTAAACATCGAAGTAATAATTCTTAGTAATTATCAAGACCTCTGTCATTCGGTTTGGTAAAGTAATTCGTTTGGATTATAGAGCAGAGAGAGAGTAAGCAGGGAAGGTTAAAGAAATACACGGTTACCCGTGTGAATTCTGGTCCTTAAAGGCGAATGCATACGTTCACTTTACTAAACGTGCACCTCAGAATCGTAGTAACGAATTTACCTTATGACAGGGTATATTTCTATTAGTAGTAAATAGGATAAGGTAGTGTACACTTGTCAAATGAATCGAATATCAATATGCAAAATCACTGTCAGTTGGTGTGGTAAAGTATTCGCAACTATTGGAAAATGCAAGGTAATAAAAGCGTAAAAGAGATAGAGAGATAGGTGTTCATCCGGCTAGGCCGGGTTCTCTGGTCCTTGTCTTAATAGGCTAATGCGACGTTCACTTTACTAAACGTGCACCTCAGAGATGACTTGCGAATGTACCTTGTGACAGGATATAGCTTCTAATGTGTACAGAGGAATTAGCGGCATTCAATTCGCTAATATGTGGTAGGATACAGGGTTACATACATATATAAGTAAGCAGTAATACAATAAAATACATAAGTATATTTATTATAATGGATTGAATAAGTATGCGATATTGGTTAAATAGTATTGAATAGTATTGGATAAAATATTGAATAGATCGACGATTGTAACGCAGACGTGTGCAGATGCAAATCGTAAATTGAAATAATATCGAGAATGCAGAGTAATATATGGCTTATATCTATATTCAAAATTCAGAGTTCGGAATGTAATGTGGAATTGAGTCAGTATTGAATAATTAAATATAATGATTAAATATAATGAGTGTCCGTCGCGCTTTACTATTTAGGGATAAGTGAACTGGCTTAAATACTCACAAGGTTAGACAATGTCTAATGTGCCTTGCTATGGTACACTTTGCTACTGTGTTCTTCCCTCTGAGTCTGAAGATCTGAGGAGCCTCGGTACCTCGGTCCGAAATGGCGGCTATGTCTCACCAAAATGGCGGCTATGTCTCGTTGTCTTCAGGACCCCGTAGTATTTGCTGGTTGAGTGCTGGATTGTTGTTGACTGGAACCACTGCGACGAAATCACTGCCGTTCCGGGCCGGGTGCAGGGTTTATATACCGTAAAATGTGGCTCGCTCCTCCCATCGGGCGATGCGGCTTAGCCAATGGCAAGAGAGGTATGCCGGGGAAGTACCGGAGACAATCTGTTCCTGGTAGAGATTGCGACGGTTAAGTCCCGGAGAGATGGTTTCTTAGTAGCGATAGTGGCGTTCCTTTGATGACTCATCGCCGGGCGCTCCGACTTTCCTTATCGTATTCTTAGTAGCAATAGCGGTGCTTCTTTGGTGACTCATCGCTATGCGGCTTGCAACGGGCCTTGCAGGTTGCAACGTGTTTCAGCGTTGCATCATGCATTGCATCATGCTTCTGGAATGTAACGGTTCTCAACCGTCTTTCTAGAACCTTCTAGAATCTTTTAAATGTTTCTTGAGAGTAAAAGCCGAGTTCACATAATAATGTTTTATACCTAATTATCTCATCATTATAGTATACTACTTTATAAGCGATATTTTTATTCCCCCTTAGAATTATCCCTTAGAATTTGCGATTTGAAATAAAATGCATTGGACAGTTAAAACTTATCAATTTACATTTACATTGCATAGCTATATGTAAATTGATAGAGAGTTTATGTCAGGAATGAATTTCTAAACTGTCTCTGACTGAGTTTAATACTCAGTTTGCACATCTACATTGCATAGCTATAATACTTTCGATTGTATGACGAATGTAATGTTATTACGCATATTGCATATGATTTTTGTCTCCTAATTTATAAATGAAAATTTTAAGGTTAATAATATATTTGCCATAGGTATGCTTATTGGCTGGTAATGTTAGTCTTCATATTTGTCGTTAGTCGGTAAGGTAGTTTCTTACTTAATCATCTGTAGTTGGTAAATCAAGTTCCTGTTTTATCATTGGTCGGTAATGTCGATTTTTATAACGTCGTTGGTCGGTAAGGTAGTTTTCTACCTTATCATTAGTGGGCAAGTTTTATCTGTAGTTGATAGAACAAGTCTCTGTTTTACCATTGGTTGATCTTATCTTGGGTAGGTAAGTTAGTAGTTCTGTCTTTAACGTCGGTGATTGGTATTGAGGGATTCGTTTGTGTTATATGTTGGTCAGTAAAGCATCGCCTAAAGAATAGTTCTGCATGTTCGTGGCTGTATGAAGTGTGCAAGACGCTCAGGGGTTGGAGCATACGACGGGTATAGTATAATTAGGGGTTATGGACATACAATGTGTACGGTGCATAGGGGCTCGCAAGTATAAATGGTGTAGCGTATACAGGGGCATTAGTAGCATGCAATGCGTACGGTGTTTCAGGGGTTAGAACATACATTCGTTGTCTGATTTAGGCGCGCTTATTCTTTAACTTTTATGTTTCCTAACGAATGATCTGGAGCAAAGCACCCTTGTTAATTATGCTTTTTATGACAGAAATGTTATTTAAAAGTGGGTTGCTACTCCCGTTGTCATTTGTGAGAAGACATGTTTTAACTTATAAGTAATTATATGTGAGATTAAATTGTTTATACCGGTCTTTCATGTAGGTTAGAGATTGTCATAATTAATATGTTAAAGGAATTTGATGCATCCTCTGAATGATTACTCAAATAAGGAGGGTTGATATGCGGCGGACCTCACTATCAATTCCTTATTTTGACAAATGCTGAGAATGTTAATTCTAACTGTGATGAGCGGTGGTCCGCTCCAAACACAGTTTGAATTATTCTGAATTCAAACGCCGTATGACAAATTTAAACGCTATCGTATTTTATCACGGGAGTGGAAGTTTTGAAGAATACTGAACACTAGTTTTCACACATGAATACACTGATTTATTCGTATAGTAGTACAAAATTCTAGACTAAAACTTAGAATTAGAATTTAGATTTAGACTTAGAATTTAGAGTTAGAATATTATACTTAGAGTTAGAATTTTAGAATTAGAGTTAGGATTTAGAATTTGGACTTAGAATTTAGAAGTGCGACTATACTGTTCGGTGTCGCGCAGAGAACTGCCGAAATTCGGGACTGCTCTGAGGTCCTTCGTTTCGGCGGCTCGGGCCTGCGGCGGCCTGGAGAGGAGGAACTCTCCGGAGTAGGGGCTCTTGCTGTGGTGGGAGATCCTTAGGCGCTACGAAGCGCCACGCTTAGTTTCTAGGCGGAGTTAAGCGTCATGGCCGGCTTTGGCGCGCTTTTCAAATAATGTTTGATAGTTTTAGGATTTATTCCTTATAGAATGAAAAAATTTACATACCCGGACATAGTAATAAAGCCGGACGTGACATCAGCCGAAAGTCACTGATCATCTCGTATTACAAGACGAATCTTTAAAAGTCCTTGGACTCTCGTGGCTTCCTTCCGAAGATTCATTTCGTCTCGTCGTAAATTCAATAAACCCGATTGAGCCCACCAAACGATCAATTCTTTCATTCGTCGCGAAACTGTACGACCCGCTCGGTTGGGCCGCCCCGGTCGTAATTAAAGCTAAAATATTTTTACAAGAACTGTGGATGTTACATTGCGATTGGGACTCGCCCATACCCGACGAATTGAAACTTCGGTGGAGCAATTTCGTATCGGATTTTAGTGAATTGACAAAAATCAAAATTCCGAGATGGACCGGTCAAACTCCAGATAATTTAACACTCGAAATTCACGGGTTTGCAGACGCGTCAACTCGGGCTTATGCCGCTGTAGTTTATTTGCGCGTCTTTCATTCGTTTTCCGACTATACGATCAGTTTGATCGCGGCTAAGACAAAGGTCGCCCCGATAAAAACTGTTAGTATTCCGAGACTTGAATTAAATGCCGTCGTACTTTTAAGTCGACTTGTTAAATGGACAACAAATTTGCTTAATTTACGTCAAATTCAGATACATTGTTGGACGGATTCCACGATTGCGTTGGCGTGGATACGCCAGCATCCATCTAAGTGGACTACTTATGTAGCCAACCGTGTATCTGAAGTACAAAATAATCTACCGTCGGCTCGATGGAATCACGTATCGTCACAAGAAAATCCTGCAGATTGTACGTCACGCGGTCTTTCCGCGTCCGAATTGCTTTCGCATCCACTATGGTGGACTGGACCACCCTGGCTCCAGAAGCATTCTACGTCATGGCCGATTCATGACGCCTCAGTTCCGCTATCTTCCGATGCAATTCACAAGATTGCAATTGAAACTCGACAATCTGCTGTCCTTCACGTAGAAAGTGTAGAAGAATGGGATTTAGTTTATAAATTCTCGAACTGGACGAAGCTCGTCCGCGTGACAGCTTACGTTCTTCGATTTGTTTATTTGCTCAAGAAAACAAGAAAATTTTCTTGCGCCTCTCCGGCACTTAATGCTGACGAGCTTAATGATGCCGAGACGTTTTGGTTGAATTATGTTCAGAAGAGATCATTCGACTCTGAAATTGATTCTTTAAGAAAAGATAAAAGTATCTCAAAAAAGAGCTCCTTGAGAACTTTTAGTCCTTTCCTCGGGGAAGATGCATTGCTCCGTCTCGGCGGGCGGTTGAAGAATGCCGCTCTCGCCTATGATGAGCAACACCCCATCATTGTTCCACAGGGTCGAATAGCATCTCTGCTTATAGCTCATACACATAAAATTACTCTACATGGAGGAGTCCAATTAATGCTCCGCACTCTTCGCCAAAGATATTGGCTTTTAGGAAGTCGAAACGCTGTAAAACGCCATATCCGTCAGTGTATTGTTTGCACTCGTTATTCCGTTAAGCAATCAAATCAACTCATGAGTGATCTGCCTTCGCCTCGGGTTAATCAGTCTCCACCGTTCACTTACACGGGAGTTGATTACGCCGGTCCCTTCCTCATCACACCGTTCGTAGGAAGAGGACAGAAGGCGAGAAAAAATTGGGTAGCCTTGTTCATCTGTCTAGTAACCAAGGCTATTCATTTGGAGCTGGTTGAAGATTGTTCAAGTGCTGGATTTCTTTCCGCCTTTCGTAGGTTTGTTAGTCGCCGAGGTTTACCGAAAAGCCTTTATAGCGACAACGGTACGAATTTTCAGGGAGCGGACAAGGAAATGAAGAGCACATTCGAAGCTCTGATGAAAGACCCGGCATTACACGACTGTCTTGCAAATGATCGCATTGAGTGGAAGTTTATTCCTTCTGCTGCTCCGCATTTTGGTGGATTGTGGGAAGCGGGCGTGAAAAGTTTTAAATCGCGCCTCAAGAGAGTAGCCGGGTCGCGTACCCTGTCACAGGCTGAATTCGCGACCCTCCTCTGTCAAATAGAGGCGTGTTTAAACTCACGACCTATCGCGGCGCTCAGCGACGACCCGAGCGATTTGTCCGCGCTCACACCGGGTCATTTTTTGATCGGCCGACCGATCATCGCGGTACCGGAGGAATCAGTACTCGCGATAAACGCTAATCGACTGCAGAGATGGCAACTAATCCAAGCGATGACCGAGCAACTTTGGCGGACATGGTCGCAAGATTATTTGCACTCTCTGCAACAGCGTCAAAAATGGACGGAAAAAACTTCATGTTTTTGCGTAGGCAAGTTAGTATTGTTAAAGAACCCTTTGCTCCCTCCGAGTAAATGGGAACTCGGACGAGTAACTCAGATCCATCCTGGATCTGACGGACTCGTGCGCGTCGTTACTGTGCGAACCGCGCGTTCCGTTTTAAAGAGACCTATCACGTTACTGTGTAGACTACCGATTAACAGTGATAGATAATCGAACTTTGGTTAACAAACTAACTTTGCGTCGTAAATTTAATTTAAATTTAAGAATTAATATTAAGTCTAATAAATGTATTATATTAAGGAATTATTATTTGTATCCTTCAGATTATCAAACAAGATATGGTAACCTTGTTATTCAATCCTCCGTGGATTATATCGTTGTACTGGTTTGCGCTCGAGGACTCGAGATCGTCAAACAGTATTTACTCACAAAAAGAACTTTCTAGTCTATTGTTAAGAAAGTCTTTAGAATAATAGCATCAGATTTCTGTTTTCAATTTATAATAGTGTTTTTTCGCGCTCTCATCGTTAATTTCTATTATTCGGTTGTCGAGACCTTTTGTATCACCTTTGTAATCCGCGTCTCAAAGTCAAAATTGACAATTACTTTCGCATCCGTTCGCATGCGAGGCGGGCGGTATGTTCAAAATATTAAGAAAAATATAAGCGAAAAATAAGGTCATTTTGAGACATATCGTTCTGCTTAACAGTTCTTAAATTATTTTCGACATCACGCGCTCGAGGAAGAAAAACACGTGTTTTCTTCCAATGTTTTCGATACTCGGCCCGAGCGCCAGCGAATCGAAGTCGAGCACGTACGTGCCACGCGCTTTGTTTGTGATCTATCCAAAAACCTTGTTACCGAATTCAAAAGGTGAGAGTCAGTCTGTCCAGAGAATTAGCGGAGCAAGGTGCTCCCTTATCCGCTTTCGAAAAGAATCCCGCGTTGGACTCTTTATTTTAATTGAACGAGAGCGTCGCGCGTGATATAAATCGCGAGTAGATTTGTTAATTTATTACTCCGATCGGGTTTAATAAACTATTTAATAAATAGCTTGTGAAAAAAAAGAATCGTTTCTCTCGCTCATTATCCAACTGTTCCGTATCCACGAATCCGCAAAATTAAATAAATAACTTTGTATGTGGAGAAAACGTACCGAAGGTTCTCGCACAATATTGATTTGTTTCAAGTGCCAAACAACAAACAATTAGTGTATAAAATATTTCATTATATTTCATTATACTTACAAGTACATGTTATACTTGTGTATGAATTGATGGATACTTGTTCTTTCAAACAAATGGGCGTGTGGTAATATCATCCTAGATTAGTGTCAAGAACTACATCTGTGTTTGTAATTGCGCTTTGGCGTTTTACATATTGTTTTCTTAATTTGCAATACAACAGACAGTAACATTTATAATTGACTAACTCTGAAATTAGATAAATAATTGATTACTTTCAAGTAATAAATAAAAAACAATAAAATATAATATTTTATACTTGCAAACATTTGTGATGTAATGTATCTCCAAATAAACGAGGTGCATACAGATGAAAAGATAGCTGACGGCCTATCAGTGGACATTAATATATGACAATTTCATGGAGTTACATAAATAACTTGAATATTTTTAGTAATACACGTAGTATTTGAATAACGAATATACTTGCAAGGCTTAGAAATTATTATCTAAATATATTAAATCTATGGTTGAATATACATTGTCCTACTACTCATTATAATACTTTAGTTAGTGACTATTCTGTGGAAATATTATAGCTGAATATTCAGTGATATTAGCTAAAATAATATTAACCTTATATACGATAGAGTTGGATAAATCTTTTAGTGTTGTGGTTAAACATCATCTTAAAACAGTGTAAAGGAACACACTTGTGTTTGTAATTACGCTTTGGCGTTTTACATCCTGTCTCCTCAATCTGAAATACAACAGACAGTCTATATTATATATGACTAACTCTGAAGTTGGATAAGAATGATTAATCTTAAGTGATAAACATCAAATAATAAAGTATAATATTGTTTATACTTAAATACCTGTGATGTATTATATCTTCAAATAAACGAGGTGTTTGTACGTGGAAGATAGCTTGTCGGCCTTTTATGTGACATTTATATATAATAATTTACCTGGAATCATACAAATATTTTGACTATTTTTAGTACTGCATGTAGCAAGTTTATAGATTGATACTGAAAACGGACTTGAATAGTTAATATTCTTCTATAAAGTTTAGAAATCATATATAAAGTGGTGGTGAAATCTATAATATACTTTGACTTGTTTTAAAATACTTTAGTTTGTGAAATATAATAGCTTTATAAATATCTTTTGATATTAGCTAAAATAACATTAATCTTATATATGACTGAGTTGGATAAATTTTGTAGTGTTGTGATAAAATTTCATCTTAGAACAGTGTTAAGAAACACACTTGCGTTGTAATTGCGCCTTGGCATTTTACATCTTATCCTCATAATCTAAAACATAACAGACAGTTAATACTTGACTAATTGATTTTAAGTTAGATGTACGTAAATAATAAATTCTAAGTGCTAGACGAAGATATTGAGGTGTAATATTACTAATATTATTAGTATTACACTTGTAATAATCACCTGTGATGCGTCTACGATAACTAATGGATGCATAAATGAGATGCCTAAAGTTCAAAATAAATTGGTGGTCTTCCTGTGTGTGAAATATGATAGTTGTTATGTCTTGAGGTGGCGGGGTAAGACTATACACCGTTACACGCCGAATACATCGACTTTTTTGGTGACAGCTCAGCGGCAACTGCCTTATGCTGGTTATTCGAGGTGTAGGATAACAACAACGTCGATCACCTTGTCGACCTACCTATCGATACATTACAATAGTCATCTGAAATTATACAGATTCTTTGATTATTCTTTAGTAATACGTTTATTAAGTTGAAAATAGATCAACAAAACAGATCTGAATGACTAATATACACTTTATAACATCTGATAATCATTATTCAAACTCTAAGTCGGTAGTGAAACATACATTGTATTGTTTTACTACTTATTAAGCATTTTGCTGTGAATTCTTATAGTGTTGTGTTGAAATATTAAAATTTTTAAAATATTTAAACACTAAATAAATCAACTTACATCTGTATGATTGGTAAAATATTTATAAAACTGAATGGTGAATTGATGCTCTTATACATCTTAATCTGAGACGGAGTGAGATTTAGCTGAGATGCTGAGGCCGTTTTCCTGGTGATCCTGGAGCTGCTGACGTACTGGAATTCCTGGGATTTCTTAAATGTTCTTGGTAATCTTACGAAGCCTTCCATCACCTTGGAGTTCTTTTCGCTGCGTAAAGATAAGTGAAATCATTATACACATACGTTTTTATGTGATAAATAGAGTGATACATAATGACATGTAGAGCCATTTGCATATGACTGCGTAATTTCTTAATGAGCATAAATTAAGTAATTAATGGATTGTTGCAACTTTACATATTCAGACTATAACCAATAATTATTAGAAATCTGGATCTAAGAATATTATGTGAGAATATAGTTTTGATATATATATACACATATATATAAATAAGATAGCCTTATAATTAATCAATAATTAAATATAATTTGAACTCACGTCATCCCTAAAGTGCCAAATAAGTGACTCTCTTTGCGAGGTTACATTTGTGTTGATGTGCCTGAAGTTGCGGTAAACCTAGATACAATCCAGATGACTTATTGACACTTGCGTCACTGTGATGCGAAGTATCTTTTTTTTGGAGGTTACATCTAATACTCCTGTATCTTAAAGTGGTGTGCCTCTTATCGTTAATTACAATGATTACCATGTATTATTGACTTCCGGCTAATGCATGAGGAAAACACATATCCTAAAAAAATCATAAAAATGAAAAGGTCAGGCCATGTTCAAAAGAAGGTACTCAAAAATTTAAACAATCTAATAATAAATTATCACGAAAAGTAACTGATATGTTATTCAAGGTGCCAGTTCAAAGTGAACATACGTAAAGTGTATATTATCTAAATTTAGTAATAATATATTACCATGAAAAGTAACTGTGATATTTTATTCAAGGTGCAAGTTCACATTGAATATACATAAATATAAGTAAAACTGATTACAATTTGATTCTAGAAAATAAGTGCGATATGTTATTCTTAGTGCACAAAATATAATAGTCGTTTATAGAGATTTGATTTGAAATTCATACTAGCCCGTACAATGAAAAATAATTGCTCGTAATTTCAGAGTACCAATTTGTTAATGACTCAGAAAAATAACATGGCGGCCTTCTTCATCCGGCGATTTTCCTAATACTGGAGCATCTTTTATCCAAATCATACAATGCATGTGCTGAATACCTCTACTTTGATATTCCAGTCGCCAGAAGTAATGAATAACCTTTCCTATTGGATTATCGGACGAATAAATAAAATCAATCATGGCTTTGAATTTTATGCACATGAATCTAGAAGTACTTACAGGATCGTATGCGACTAGTTCGCTGATGCCTAACTTCTTTTTATCGAGATTCATATCTCGTAAATATTCACCCAAATCGGACCATTTCTATTCACTAGGACTCAAAGTCAAAAACCACGTCGCTGGACCGTAATGCAAAGTCATGCATTTTACATTATTGGACGGTTGTCGCCAAAATTGATCCGTATTTCTCAATTTTGCGAAAATACTCATTAAATTCGATTCTAATTCGTAACCTTTCAATTCGTTCAAGTATCTACCAGCAGTGTATCTCTCTCGTGAGTTAGTAACCATCATCGTATAATAGATACCACTTTTCAACTGTCGGTAGTTAGCATCATTGAGAAGGAAAAACAGATACTGCAGATTCAACCTGAATCTACTATGTTTCGACATCAATCGTGTTCTAATAAATAAATATTCCGGCAATGCAAAGTTTCTATCTTCTCGTTGTCCACCATCAGGATATAAATCAGGGAAACACATGACATCCAGATATTTATAACGATTATCCATTGGAAAATCTTCAATTTTCATCATTTGATAAAGCTTCAATGCAGATTCGTTATCGATTCTTTTCGCGTGTATTGGGTATATTGTATACTGATCGTTAATATCCGAATCTTCAGTGATTTGTGTGAGGAAAGCCCTACGTTTTAAAACGATTTGATCATTATTATTT